ATAAGTATATTAAGCAGTAAAACTACAAAGAAAAGGAAGGGAACCAGTTACTAGACTTTAGTGGCAATAACTTGCAGGGGTGGAGGGAAGAAGCACAAAGATTTCCAGGTTACCGCAAATGTTCTATTTCTTAGGTTGGGAGCCATGTGTACAGATGTTCATTTTACTTTTCATCTGAACAGACCCATCTACCTTTACATATACAATACACTTCACAATACAGAAATGTTTTGAAAAGCTCTAAAGGGATATTGCCAGGGAAAGAGGATGGTGACCAGAGGGACAGATGGGAGTCCGGGGGTTCGGGGAAGGCTTCTGCAGGGGAGCAGGGTATCCAGGGGAAGGAAGTGCTGACGCCCGAGGGAGAAGTGTGCCTAGGACGCAGCCAATGGGGCTGAGGGCACAAGGGTCAGAAGTCAGAGAGGCAGGGTCATTGCAAGGACTTTGGTTCTTACGGCAACAGAGGGTCCTGGGCAGAGTGACCTGAGCTGACAAGCTTACGGGGATCTCTTTTGGCTGTGCTGAGACAGAACAAAGCGGGGCAATGGCAGAGCAGACCTGTCTGGACTATCCTGGCAGTAATCCAGGCCACAGGTGAGTGGCTTTGACCAGCGTGGGACTCCTGATAAAATCTGAAGGTAGGACAACAGGTTCCATGTGAATAGAAAACAAAGGGAGTCATCAAGGGCGAATCTAAGGTTTTGAGCCCCCAAAACAAGGAAGAAGGTGGCTGCCAGCAGTGGAGACATGGGGACTGTGGGGGCAGCACCAGTGCAGGAAGATCAGGCACTCAGTTCTCCACGTCCAAGTCTGCGGTTCTTATTCAATACGGTACTAGGCTGAGTATGTCCCCCAGAATCTGTGAATGCGACCTTGTTTGCTGATGTAATCCTGTTAAAGTGGGGTCACACTGGATTAAGGTGGTCCTAAACCATGACTGGCATCTCCCTAAGAGGAAAGACAGCCAAGCAAAGACAGGCAGAGACGTGAACTATGCTGCCACAAGCCAAGGAACAGCAAGAATTCCTGGCAACCACCAGAAGCTGCAAGAGGCAAGGAGGGACTCTTCCCTAAAGCCTACAGAGTGTGGCCTTGGCGACACCTTGATTTGGGCCTTCGGGCCTCCAGAACAGTGATAGAACAAATTCCTGTTTTGTTAAGCCACTCAGCCTGTGCTACTTTGTTAAGGAGACCCGCAAAACCCAAAATACCTAAGTCTATTTTTAACACTTCTCGGAAAGGCTGGATGATGTGTGACAATAAAACATCAAAAAGATACCCATTTAAAATATATGGGTTCTGGGGTGCTTGGGTGACTCAGTCAGTTAAGTAACCAACTACTGATCTCAGCTCAAGTCTCGATCACACTGGGTGTGGAACCTACTTTAAAAATAAAAATGAAGGGCGCCTGGGTGGCTCAGTTGGTTAAGCGACTGCCTTCGGCTCAGGTCATGTTCCTGGAGTCCCGGGATCGAGTCCCGCATCGGGCTCCCTGCTCGGCAGGGAGTCTGCTTCTCCCTCTGACCCTCCCCCCTCTCATGTGCTTGCTCTCTCTCATTCTCTCTCTCTCAAATAAATAAATAAAATCTTTAAAAATAAAAAAATAAAAATAAATAAAAATAAAAATGAAATAAATTTTAAAAATATAAAAAAAAAATCTGGGTTCTTTTTCTGACTCTCCTTTTTCCTGGTTGTAAGAACCTAGGCAAATCATTTTGCTTCTGTTATTCAATTTCCTGCAAAATGTGAAAAACCAGGGGCTGAACAGAATCCTATTCAAGGTTCCACCACCTCTAAATTTCTGCAGTTCCAGGACTATTCCCAAATATGAAAAAGTATGCCTGAACCCTATCCCAATAACCTATTGAAACCCCATTTCACAGAGCGGTTTCAAGTCCACCTTCCAATGGATGTGCCACCTTAAAATGTGGTAAGACAAACTAGATGCTAATTCACGAAAGATGAGGATCACTAATTGGAATTTTATGATGTTTCTAAGATACAGCAAAAACAGAACTCCCCTCGGTGACATACTATATTCATTTTCTACCGCTGTCACCACGAACTCACCGGCTTAAAACACCCACTTGGGGCGCCTGGGTGGCTGAGTCGGTGAAGCATCTGCCTTCGGCTCAGGTCATGATCTCAGGGTCCTGGGATCGAGCCCCATGTCGGGCTCCCTGCTCAGCGGGGAGTCTGCTTCTCCCTCTCCCTCTGCCCCCCACCCCCTGCCGCCACTCTTGCTCTCTCTCTCAAATAAATAAATAAAAACCTTGAAGAAAAGAAAAACACCCACTGAAGACCTCACAGTTTCCATGTCAGAAGGGGCAGGTGGTTCTCTGCTTAGAGTCTCACAAGACAGCAACATGGTAGGGCTACCTGGCAGGGTGCCATCCCAAATTCATTCAGGTTCTTGGCAGAACTCAGGTCCCCGCAGCTGTGGGATGGTGGTTCCCCAGGGATCAGTCCTAGGTTCTAGAGGCAGCCCACGTTCCTCTGTTCCCAGCCACCCATGCATCTTCCAAGCCAATCACGGCAGGTGGAGTCCTCCTCATGCTTTGAATCTCCCGAACCTCCCCTCCTGCCTACCTCTACGGTTCTGGGGCCTCGAGTGATTATTGGGTTGTACCCCAATAATCCAGGTTAATCTCCGTACCTGTAAGTCAGCCACTCAGTAACCTCTAAGTTACACCTCCAGAGTGCTCTCACAGCAGTGCTAGATTCGTGTCTGATGGGGCGAGCAGGGGCCAGCAAGCTTAGGGAGACGTTTTTAGGGTTCTGCCTTCTACATATACCCCAAGATGTCACATTAACACGTAAAAACATACATAATACACTTCTGTGATACAACTTTGGGAAGTCAAGTGTTACCTGCATTTTACTACAGCAAACTGACAGCAGGATTGAAATAATGGATGAGGTTTTTGTAAACACAGTAAAAGCAAAAGTAATCTTTGTTACTGCAAATATCCTCAGGAAATACAAGTTCGACAACGCAGAGGCTGGATCGAAGCAGCCGCCTGAACCTAATTCCCCTTGCAGGCTTAATCGATTCCTTCCCTACAGACGGGAGAGTCTAGAAGTGACCAGCATGGCAGGAATGACAGGCGTCCCCGCACAGACCGCCCCCAGCCAGGTTTCCCTTGAAGAGGAAGTGGCAGCAGTGCCCCACTCCCACCCAACCCCCTGTTCGTTCACACTCTGCCTCCCAAACACGCTCCTACAAGCAGAGGACAGGCCGAGAGCAGCATGTCAACACTTACTCTGAGGAGCCCACATCGGCACCGCCCTGGTCTGCTCATGTCGAACACAGACTCCCTGCGCAGGGCCAGGTGGTTAGGAGACTGAGCTCCGTGCATGTTTACCAATGACCACGGTTACTTCCAGCCTTCTTCTGAGCGTGTCCTCCACGGCATCATAACAGTAACAGCCCAGAGAAGCGAGAGCTGCCTAACAGGTGTCCTGCAGAGCATGGATCTTCCCAGAGAGGCAGAGTGCGGAGGTCAAGGCCACGGTGAGCGCAAAGCTAGTAAGCAGAGGCGGCGAACCCTGACCGTGGCCGTGGAAGCCCCGCTCTCCCCACAAGAGGCTACCACCCGGTGTCCAGCAGCGGCTCGGAACACGTTCAGCACACCCCCTCCGGCCAGCACCTGGGGCGACTCTTCCGCGGGAGCGTCCCGCTGGAAAAGGGCAGGACACGGAATGCTCCTGGGTTTTCGCTTCTCGCTTTGCTCTCCGCAAAGATTACAGCATCTTCCGGGCTCAGAAAGCACTGAGGAGGTTTTCTGAACACCACCCGAGGAAGAGCGACAGGGGCACGACTCAAAACCTGTTCCCGAGGTAGGGACAAAGCCAAAATCTGACCTTTCACCTCGGATGCACCACAGGCGCTTTCTGTGCCTGCAGTTTTGGCTTGAGCTTCTGAGCGGGTCGCGTCGGTCGTCCCCGCACCTCCCCGCGCGGCGTGGGCGCAAGGCGCCGACTTCCAGGAGCCAGAGACAAACCAAGCGCAGGCGGCGCTCCCGAGCACCCACTGCTCCAAGAGCGCTCGTCCGGGCTCGCTCACACGCGCAGGAGCGGGGGGCGGGCCCCGCAGAGGACGCGCCCCGCAGAGGACGGACCCCGCAGAGGACGGGCCCCGCGGGGACGGGCCCCGCAGAGGACGGGCCCCGCAGAGGACGCGCCCCGCAGAGGACGCGCCCCGCAGAGGACGGACCCCGCAGAGGACGGGCCCCGCGGGGACGGGCCCCGCAGAGGACGCGCCCCGCAGAGGACGGACCCCGCAGAGGACGGGCCCCGCGGGGACGGGCCCCGCAGAGGACGGGCCCCGAGACTCCGCGGCGGCTCACGACTGACCGGAACGAAGCTCCCGCTCCCAGGCGCCAACAGGCGGGCAGGACTCAGTGGTTCAGGAGTCCCCACCTTCCACATCGCCCCCCACTCAGGCCGCGCCCAGCCCGCGGGGCCACAGTCGAGACTAGGACTGGAGGAGGGGGCGCGGGGGCAGGGGTGAGGGCGGGAGGAGGGGGCGCGGGGCCGCGGGGTCAGGACTTAGGGAGGGAGGAGGGGGCGCGGGGGCAGGGGTGAGGGCGGGAGGAGGGGGCGCGGGGCCGCGGGGTCAGGACTTAGGGAGGGAGGAGGGGGCGCGGGGACAGGGGTGAGGGCGGGAGGAGGGGGCGCGGGGCCGCGGGGTCAGGACTTAGGGAGGGAGGAGGGGGCGCGGGGGCAGGGGTGAGGGCGGGAGGAGGGGGCGCGGGGCCGCGGGGTCAGGACTTAGGGAGGGAGGAGGGGGCGCGGGGGCAGGGGTGAGGGCGGGAGGAGGGGGCGCGGGGCCGCGGGGTCAGGACTTAGGGAGGGAGGAGGGGGCGCGGGGGCCGAGAGGTGCAGGGTCAGGGGTTAGGGCGGAAGGAAGGGGCGCGGCGTCAGAGCCGGAGGAGGGGGCGCGGGGCCGCGGGGCGCGGGGACCACAGCGGGAGGAGGCGCGCGGGACCCGCGCTCACGTTTGTACTCGGCCATCAGCCTCTTCAGCGCCGTCCCCGCCATCGTCCGGGCAACAGCTGCGCGGTCCGGTCTCGCCTCCCAAGCGCAGGTCCCTCCCGCCCGCCGCAGGGCTGCTTCCGGGTCGCCGCCGGGGCACGGAAACTCTTCCGGGGCGCGGAGCGCGCCTGCGCAGTGGGGCGGTGGTCCAGGGCAGCGGCGCAGGTGCGGCGGCCGGGCTTTCCCGGCCGCAGGGTCCCGGGGTCCCTACCCCCCGCCAAGGCCTCGGCCACTTTGTGCGTTAACGCCGCTTACGGCGATCCAAATTCCTGTAGGGCCCGGGTCGTCCAGAAAATCCCAGAGCGCGGGCGCCCAGGGAGGAGTATGTATTAACCGCCTGTTACATCATACTGGCAGTGCCGCAGGAAGGTCCGATTAAAGGACCGGGCGGGGGGACAAGACCTGGACCAAGGATGGAGACGGAGGATGGCGGCCTGGGGGACAGGACCCGGACCAAGGATGGAGATGGAGGATGGCGGCCTGAGGGACAGGACCCGGACCAAGGATGGAGACGGAGGATGGCGGCCTGGGGGACAGGACCCGGACCAAGGATGGAGACGGAGGATGGGGGACAGGACGGGGACAGGACCTGGACCAAGGATGGAGACGGAGGATGGCGGCCTGGGGGACAAGACCTGGACCAAGGATGGAGACGGAGGATGGCGGCCTGGGGGACAGGACCCGGACCAAGGATGGAGATGGAGAATGGGGGACAGGACGGGGACAGGACCTGGATCAAGGATGGAGACGGAGGATGGCGGCCTGGGGGACCAGATGGGGACAGGATCCGAAGGATGGAGACGGAGGATGGCGGCCTGGGGGACAGGACTCAGACCAAGGATGGAGATGGAGGATGGTGGCCTGGGGGACAGGACAGGAACAGGACCCGGACCAAGGATGGAGACAGAGGATGGCAGCCTGGGGGACAGGACCCGGACCAAGGATGGAGATGGAGGATGGGGGACAGGACCTGGACCAAGGATGGAGATGGAGGATGGCGGCCTGGGGGACAGGACCCGGACCAAGGATGGAGATGGAGGATGGCGGCCTGGGGGACAAGACCTGGACCAAGGATGGAGACGGAGGATGGCGGCCTGGGGGACAGGACCCGGACCAAGGATGGAGACGGAGGATGGCAGCCTGGGGGACAGGACCCGGACCAAGGATGAGGACGGATGATGGCGGCCTGGGGGACAGGACCCGGACCAAGGATGGAGATGGAGAATGGGGGACAGGACAGGGACAGGACCTGGATCAAGGATGGAGATGGAGGATGGCGGCCTGGGGGACAGGACCTAGACCAAGGATGGAGATGGAGGATGGGGGTCAGGACGGGGACAGGACCTGGACCAAGGATGGAGATAGAGGATGGCAGCCTGGGGGACCAGACGGGGACAGGACCCGAAGGATGGAGACGGAGGATGGCGGCCTGGGGGACAGGACCCGGACCAAGGATGGAGATGGAGGATGGGGGACAGGACGGGAACAGGACCCGGACCAAGGATGGAGACAGAGGATGGCGGCCTGGAGGACAGGACCCGAACCAAGGATGGAGATGGAGAATGGGGGACAGGACAGGGACAGGACCTGGATCAAGGATGGAGACGGAGGATGGCGGCCTGGGGGACAGGACCTAGACCAAGGATGGAGATGGAGGATGGGGGTCAGGACGGGGACAGGACCTGGACCAAGGATGGAGATAGAGGATGGCAGCCTGGGGGACCAGACGGGGACAGGACCCGAAGGATGGAGACGGAGGATGGCGGCCTGGGGGACAGGACTCGGACCAAGGATGGAGATGGAGGATGGTGGCCTGGGGGACAGGACAGGAACAGGACCCGGACCAAGGATGGAGACGGAGGATGGCAGCCTGGGGGACAGGACCTGGACCAAGGATGGAGATGGAGGACGGCGGCCTGAGGGACAGGACCCAGACCAAAGATGGAGACGGAGAATGGCAGCCTGGGGGACAGGACTGGGACAGGACCTGGACCAAGGATGGGAGACAGGACGGGGGCAGGACCCAGACCAAGGATGAAGACGGAGGATGGTGGCCTGGGGGACAGGATGGGGACAGGACCCGGGATGAAAGATGGTGATAGAGGATGGTGGTCCGGGGGTAGGGGCTGTAGGCAGGGCAGGCCGACTGCTGGCTGAGCAGATTTCATTAAGGGTATGTATTTTTTAAATGTATCCCCCCATGAGAAGGGGGATAAAAATCGAAGATCCCACCTGTAGGTTCAAATATACATGTGGCACAGGGCCATTTCAGGGTGACTTTCAGGCCCAACTGCATGAATACTGTACTCTTTGCCACACACAGAGATCCATGAAGAAGGCATTTGTATGCCTTTGACCACCTTCAGACAGGCTTTAGGTTTGAAAAAGATTGGTGATTGTGGTGGTTTTCCTCTGCATCAGTGTGGCCCCACAGAGAATCGGGTTTCCCAAGACAGCCTCCATAAAGAGCAGAGCTCCAGTGAGGCCTGAGGGAGCAAAGCAGCAAGACCGCCCATCTGCCCGTTGCTTCAGGAGGGACCAACAACTTCCTCCAGCCACCCCCTCAGGCTCCTTGCTTCCCTGGCTTCTCAATTGTGTAATGTGTATCGGAAGAGTGAGTCCTTTTTTAATATTATTATGGTGGTTCTATTCCCAATTGACCTACTGTGATTTGGTGATCTATTTATGCTTCTCAGAACCCCATTCTTACTGACTTCAAAGAAAGTAAATACATTTAGTACTTTGTGGCTCTGCCATGAAGAGACTTACACACCTTAAAAAAGAAAAGTTTGGGGGCACCTGGCTGGCTCCGTCAGTTAAGCATCTGCCTTCAGCTCAGGTCATGATCCCAGGGCCCTGGGATGAGTCCCGTGTCGGGCTCCCTGCTCGGCGGGAAGCCTGATTCTCCCTCTCCCTCTGCTGCTCCCCCCGCCTGTGCTCTCCTTCTCTCTCAAGTAAAGAAAATATTTTTTAAAAAAAGTTTTTACCTCCACAATATTTACATCTACCTACATCCTACACTATTGTACAGAATTTATAATGTTCTGTATAATCTACTAGCATAACATATAATTGTTACTATCTACCTCCTACAACCAGAAAACACATTCCATGAGAGCAAGGGGTTTTTGTCTCATTTGTTCATGGATGCAGCTTGAGTACCTGAGCGTGGCAATCAGTATCTGCTGAACTGAATGAAATTTAACAATGCAAACAAGCCTCCAAGTATGCATATTTTAGGGTAGAAGCATACAAGAATGTAGTCTAACACTATGTTTTCAGATAAGTGAGGCCATCCACTGCACAAAGGAAAACAGTCCTACCTTCAAACACCAAAAACCTAGAGAAGCCCAGACTAATGTCCACATTCCTCTGCTTCCAAAATCTAACCTCTCTTTACAGATGACACCCAGGAGAGGAAAGGTGTCATGATGCCGGTTCAGCCCAGCCAAAGGCTGGGAGAGCTCGTGAGCAATGAGAGGAGAAGCCAGGACCCGCATGTGTGACCAGCCATCAGGTGAATACTTACTTTCCCCCAACTAGCCTTAAAATGTCAGTGGTCTCACCGAGTGGCCCGTACGGATACGGCACTGTGACGATATGGCCCCACAGCCAAATGCAGTATTTAGTACAAGCCCAGAGACAGAATACCAAACTATATTTACTGTTTACAGTAGCAAAGGACAACAGATCATGTACAAATTGGTGAATAAACAGAACAGAGCCAGCAGACATCCCACCCACGCCCGAACAGCAAAACACAAAGGAAATGCGAACACCTTCAGCAAGATTTCAGGCAAGCAAGAGATGACGGTCATGGTCATGCTCTGTGACTAGAACAAGGCAGCAGTGGGTCCATACACAAAGACAGGAGGAAAACTATCAGTTTAATTGGTACAGATCCCAAAACATCTCACAGAACTGAACTCATATACTAAAGCGTAAGTCCCATACCTATTTGGAAAGCAGCATAGCCCAAATCCGTGAGGGCGACACAGAGTCACCTTTCCATGGGCTCCATGGGTAACATACTTTAAGCAGGCCTTTCACACAAAAACAAGTGCAAATTCAGCAATACTGAATCTTGCTTTTTTATAGAGAGACCACAATTACTCAGAGGAGGAGAAATCTGAGGCCACAACACCATGACCAAGTGAGACATGGGGACTGCTTTCTTCTCTATTAAGGGGAAAGGCCCATTTCTGCGGCCCCAGGCTCCAGGCAGTGGGTGCTGATGCCCAGGGCCACGTTACTGAAGGACCTGCTTATTTTCCTTTTCACCTTTTAAAAAGCATTCCAGTATTTTCCCTTCAACTTTACCATATCCTGAAATGCAATATTTAGCATTTAAAAAACCTGTGCCTATACAAAATAGTAAAAGTTTGTCTCCCATCCCCAAACCGCCCCCAAAACCTGTCCAACAGAAGCACCCCCACTGTGGTGCCGTGAGCTCTCGACTGGAATAAGCGGTGCGGGGGCAGGGATCAACCCCTGGGGTCAGATCCCCATCTAGACTAAAAGTGGACATTCAGACCACAAGTTTGGGGGCAAAGTTAGAGGGGAGAAAAAACAAAAATGAAAGCAAAAACAAACCCCAAAACCCTCACAACTCATTTCACCCCAACAAAGACAAGTGTGACTGGCCCGCTTCCAGCTGCAGGCTCCCCCCTGCAGACAGAGTTCTGAGTTGCCCTCACAAAATGTCAGAGAGGGAAGTAATTTTGGTGACTGTCCCCGGGTTTCCGCAGACTCCTTTGTGATGGGTACGGTCCCTTGTTCACTCTTCAGCAGATGCAGGGACAACACGGAGGGGACAGAGACAGCCGCTCTGCCACGAGCCTCCCGTCTGCTGCTGGAACACGTCAATGGTGTCCTCGTCCTCCATCTCCAGCTGACCGGGTCGTCGGGACCGGCGCGGTGAGAGAGGGGAAAGCGGTTAGTTTCCTCGCCATTCCAGGAATGCAAAATGCCCACCTGAACGGATACGCAGGTTCCTACACAGTCTTCCTCCCCTTGGAGAACACCGTCCCGACCACACCTGTGTGCGGTGGCCTCTCCGCGTGTGTGCCATGCGGGGAATGATGCCCAGCTGTGGGTTTCCAATGAGCCCTATTCATCCACCAAGCACCACTCACAAAAGCATAGTCAAAGCTAAGGACTTTGATAGAGAAACTAAGCCTCTGGGGACGCCTGCCTGGCTCAGTCAGTAGAGAATGGGACTCGTGATCTCAGGGTTGTAAGTTCAAGCCCTACGCTGCGTGTACTGACTACTTTAAAATTAATAAAATCTTTAGAAAGAAAACTAAGTCTCATTAGAAAATAAGTGTCTGGGGCGCCTGGGTGGCTCAGTCAGTTAAGCGTCTGCCTTCGGCTCAGGTCATGATCCCAGGGTCCTGGGATCGAGCCCCGCATCGGGCTCCCTGCTCCGCGGGAAGCCTGCTTCTCCCTCTCCCACTCCCCCTGCTTGTGTTCCCTCTCTCACTGTGTCTCTGTCAAATAAATAAATAAAATCTTAAAAAAAATAAAAAGTGTCTAAAATTTTTACTGAACACGACACAAAATCCCATTCCACTTAGGAGTATCTAATGAGCGGTGTGGACTCCTGGGGACCAGTAGGACCACACGCTTCACGGTAAGTGCCACGGGCCGTGTCCATGGACTCCAAAGCAAGCTACGTCACACGAGGAGGATCTGCAGGAGCAAGGGAGCACTGCTGGCTTGCCACTCAGCTCCTTCCCTCTCCTTCAAGACCAGGGTGGGGATGGTGCAAACGTTTCCTGCTGCCGGATTTTTTTCCTGGCTCAGGGGGCGCACAAACATCTACCCCAATCTCTGCCCATTCAGACAGAGACTACCGAGGCTGGAAGCAGGAACATTTCCCAGGGATGCTCTCAGGCTGGGACAGCAGGGCCCCTCCCAGGCTCAGACACCACCCGAGCGGCAGCGAGAATGACGGGCAGGCAGGAGAGCCTGGGTGCTCCTCCAGCCTCCCAACCGCCAGGACCCCTGCAGCCTGGCGCCCCGGGTGAGCGGTGTGAGCTTTCCTAGAGGGGGCGCGCGCGCGCACACAGCCTCTGGCTGTGCAGTCCTGCCACGTGACCCACTCCGACTGACTCTCACAACGCTGTGCAGGACAGAAAACAGGCATCCCTGTTACAGAGAAGGATGGAGACTCCAAGAGGGTCAGCGGCTCTTGATCGCAAGGTCGCCCAGCTGACGAACGGCAGCAGAGCCACTGACCTCAGCCTCCTCTTTCCGGGCCCAGCCCTTCCCCTGCGGTGTGAAGGGAGGCAGCGGGATGGGCGTGCGGTGGGTGGCAGTGAGCAAACACCACGTGACAGTGACAGCATGTGTGCCTGTCCCTCCCGCCCACACCCCTTGTGCATAAATACCGAAAGGGCACAAGAATCAGGCCAGCAATTTAGCTGCAAACCCGGTGTCCAGATACAAGGGGCGGGCGCCGGGAGAGGTGGCCGGAGCGGGGGGCCCCGGCCCGTGACCCTGGACCCACTGTCAGCACCTGGTCCTCCGCCCCATCCCCCAGCATGCAGGATGAGGTCTGACCAAGTGCACTTGCCTCATTTGGAAAACTGAACTCCAAATTAAAAATTAAATAACCTACTCATTAAAACCATTAAGAAATGTCAAGTATTCTACATGAGCGCCCTCGGCAGCTTTCGGGTGAGCACGCCCCACGTGGCCGCGACCAGATGCGAGCCATAGCAGCCCCCCGGCGCACGCGGCTGGCTTTCGTACCTGTGCGGGGGTGTCTGTTTCGTTAATTGGCTGCCCGTCAAACCTGAATCTAATCTGTCTCATTGACAAGCCCTGAAAAGAGAAACCAATTATCATTAAATATTTCCAGACAACACATTAATTCCAAAAAATAAAACATCTAGCTTAAGATATCAGAATTCTGAACATACAGACTTATGATCCACTTGATTATAAAAACAGGCCAGCGGGCCTACAATCCACTTCATGTGATGCCCAGCACGGATGCTTCCAGAAGCTCTCACACATTCCAGCTCCTGGTCCTGCCCAGCCCCTCCCCCACTGCCCTTCAGAATCGAGCAGAAGTTCCACACCACTGGCACCACCACCCTCTAAGAACTTCCGTGGGAGAAGCCGTCAGGTGACAGTGAGGTCTGGGTCACAGGACCGCGTGCGAGCGGGAAGGAGCCCCGGCCACGGGGCCCGCGGGAGGCCTAGCAGAGCGTCTTCCGTCCAGGAAGGAGCATGTGCAGACTTCCTGCATCCTGGGCAGGATGAACATGGTCGGGGAAGACAAATATCCCCTCTTAAAAAGCAATTCTGATTCCACTTAAATGGAATAGGCAGGATTAAAACATGCATCTCTGCTCCCTCCTGAAGAGACACCAAAAAATTAAGGCATGACCCCCAGGGACGAAGAGAACAGGAAGGAGAAGGCGGAGAGACAGACATCGCCGCCGGCTGGGAGCTGCAGGGTCGTGGCTACTAGACCCCAAGGTCAGGGTGGGGGTGGGCGCAACAAGGCCCAGAGCCCTCAGAGGCCTGGGGGCTGATTTTGGATGACTGCTTGGAAGCTGACACAAGAAAGGTCCTTTCAGACGCCCAGCTCAAGGCGCCTCCCCCAACCCCAAGCGGCCAGGCACTGTCCCTCCCACGGGCAAAAGATCTACTTTCTGGAGACGTGGACTCTGAGCCCTGGGCTCAGGACACCAGGGACAAGTGACAGCGCTGCCGGCCAAGCCCCCTCTCCCCGTCCAGCCGCGCACCCAGGGCACAGACAGGAGCCTGGGAGGTCCACTTTGGGAAATTTAATGACTCACAGGTTGCGACACCTGCGAGCCCCACCCCCCCCAAAACTACCAAGCCTGGCAGGCCACCCCACCATGGCTTGTGGGCTCTACGCATACAGCTTTTCGCCAGCTTTTTGGGATTCATTTTTAGATATGAGCAGTTAACCAAGGACTTGGGGACATGGAAAGAAAGCCTCAAATGCGCGAGCCATCCAACAAACGAGGAAGGAAGGAACAGCGGGCATGGGAAGGGAGGGGCCAGAGCACACAGAGAGACACTGGAAATCCTTAGGGAGCCAAAAAACAAGAGATAGTTGCTACTTATTCAAAGAATAAGAAAGAACGAAGAAGGTTTGGAAATGGTTTGGAAATTGGAAACTGTGGCAGATGCAAGAGTGTCCACGTAAGGTGGGACCAGAAAGTTGAAAGAATCTCCCAGAAAGAAAACCAACAGCAACAACAACCAAGCCCGATGTCAGGGGGGCAGACGCTGCCGAGGGACAGGTCCAGAACAGGGGCTCCAAGGTGCAGGAGTGTTCCCAACACAGGGGACAGGACGGAAGAGGACGGAAGCTGTGTTTCCTCAACTAAAAGCAAGTTTCAACCTGGAAGTGTTCCGTCGGTGGAGCCCTGGACCCTTGATCTCGGGGCGGAGGGGGGATGATAGCGATATTTCAGGACACAGAATAAGGTCCCAAAAGCTCTGAGAAGAGCAAAGTTACATCAAAGGACAGAGAATCAGAATGTTACTGCACTTGCCACTCCAACACCAAAAGAACACGACGATGTGATAAATCCAAAAAAAGAAACTGAATTTCAATCTAGAAATGGTCAAGCGTGAAGGTTTATGAAAAGTAAATCACCGTCAGACACGCAATACCTCAAAGACGCTGCATTTTATAGGCCCTTTCAGAGCAAGATGCTGGAAGACACACTCTGCCGAGACAGGGGACGATTAATCCAGAAAATACACAGGATGGAGGCCAAAGAAGTCTCCAGAAGGAATGATTCTGAGGTGGTTCTGCGAGGACAGCCATGCGGCGGGGCATGAAGGAAGGGGCGGCTGGGACCGCAGGGACGTGCCCCCGGGGTGGCGGGTGGAGAACATGGGTGATGAATTCACACAAACACCCGGAAAACCACACACGACCCCCAGACCCCAGACCCCGATGCAGACAAGAGCCAGATATGAGGCAGTCCGCCGTGCACCTCCTCGGCCGCGGCAGAATCCAGCACATCCCGAGCAATCTCCCCACAGGATGTGGGCAGGAGCGAGCGTGGAGGGCAGTGTCAGCCGCATGTCCACCTTTCTTAGGGGAAAATAACGTCTAAAACCAAACACGTGAAAAAACAAACTGAAACACACCTACAGAGAAAGAGTAAAAAGCAGCAGTCGCAGTGGAGGGCAGGGAAGGCCTCCAAGAGCAGGCCTGAAAACGGAGGACACGAGGAAGGCACGCAGCTTTCCTACAGGGTTTCTTGTCACGACAGAAGCCCCAAGGCCAGCACTATGGGAGCCAAGAACGGGGCCAGCACTATGGGAGCCAAGAACGGAACCAGCCAAGCACCAGGATGTGCACAGCACGCGGACACAGGCTGCCTCCCCCTAAGAGGAACCTGGAGCCTCGGAGAAGGGGCCGGGCCGCGCGGACGGACGTGGAGGGCCTCAGGTCCCCGCGTGTGAGTGAGAACCACGGACAGCGAGGGTCGAAGCACCAATGTGTGGGAAACACTGCCGACGACGACAGTAAAAGGTCAGGCTGTCACCGGGAGGATGCTGGTGACCCAGCCCACCGCTGCCGGCGCCGGTAAGGGAAGGGAAGGATCAAGCACTCTCCGCAACCGAGCTGTGAGGACGGCCGGCCGTGTCTCCACGGACGTGTTCCAGCCGCTGCAAGAAGGAACGTGTCCACTACTCTGCAACCTGCGTATCCGAAGGACGCCGCCACACGTGTCCGGCTCCGGAGGAGAAGCAGGCGGTGTGAAACAGCTGTGGACACAAGAGCTGACGCGCCGTCAGATGGAAGACCAATGGGAGCGGAAGGAAAAAGCCAGCGAGGGGCGTGCGTGCCCGTGCACAGACACACGCAACCGTGCACGCACGCTCAAGCACACGCGCACTCGTGCACACGCACGCACT